GTTTCTGCAGGGAGAAGGGTGCAACAATGAGTGAACGGAATCCCAAAATCTCTGTATATGTTCATTGAAATGAAAAATAAACAACCTAAATTAAAAATAAATAAATAAATAAAAATTAAAAAAAATCAATTCAGTGAGATATTATATTTAAATTGGTCAGCATACACCCACAAGCAATGGAAAATAAATTTTGGTTTTTATCAATAATATTAATGTTTACATTCTATTATACAAAATGGAGGACATTATGCTGAGTGAAAGATCTTGGTCACATAAGGACAAATACTGCATAGTCCCACTGTTGTGAAACAAAACTGACATCAGGGTTGGGGGGAGACTGAGAAAGATGGTATAAATTATGTATATTGCACTGAAACAGATGAGGGAGAGAGCTGTTTAAAAGAAATATAAGATTGGGTATTATTGTCATGACAAGAGTCCAGAATGAAGGCTGCATAATGCAGTGGACTTGGGGGGAGGGATTGTAAAACAATGAAAGAATTTTTCTTGTACTTTTCAAAGAGAAGAGTGAACTGGGAGAGGGAGGGATGGGCAGGGAGAAAAGTACAACAATGACTGTATGGAAATTCAAAGTCTCTGTAAACTTTCATTAACATTAATAGTAGTAAATTAAGAAAGTAAAAAATATGATTACTTTCAAAGAGTAAATACACGGGAGAGGATATGCAGGAGTCTTTGTTGACAGAAAGCACAGTTCACAGAAAAGAATCATTTTACCAAACCTCATGATATTAGTTAAATACGCACAATTTTATTTATTGAAGAGAGATTAGGACAAAAACATTAAACCAAATACATGACAAAGCACCAGAGGCCATAGATTCCCACCATGCACATCACCAATCTTTCCTGCTACGACGTACTTAAAAAAATAGGGGCAAGGGAAAGGGAAAAAGGTCCTTCTTGACACAGCACCGTCTTCAGAATGTAAAAAGGAAACAAGAACAAAACAAAACAAAACAAAAAAAACCCCAAACATCTCTCCTTTATATCTTTCATTATCAAAATAGAACCAAGGGCAAGTGCATGGCCGCCTCGTCTCCTGATCAGGCACGGTCAAGCCGCCCTCCTGGGAACATGAGCTACACAGCTCCTGCTGAGCAGGCAAACAGCATCCAAGGGTCTGCACATACATGCCACATACTAGAATTAAGCACAGATTCAAGTAACATTTACATACTAGAGTCCACGTGTTACCTACCCAAAAACATGACCATTTCACAAAACATATACAGGCAGTGAAATCCAAACAACTGAGGTACTGGAAACACAAATATTTATGCCAAAAGATTTCTGTATCATACAGCAATAGAAAAGCGATAATTAAAAACAAACATTTGCCACTCGAAATGAAGCTATCTAGAAAAGCCAAATAAAAGGTTACTTCAGGGACAGAAATATTCAAACAAGAGAAAAAAAATTATAAATGTTAACTACAGCATGTAACATGTCATCCCAAGTCAACCCGTAATTGAAGTACTGGCTTAATACATCACAATGTGACATTTTCCTTAATAAATAGAAGAGTTCTTGAAAATACAAAGGTGCGTATTGGGATAAAGAGCAGTTTCTTATTTATAACATCCTAGCTTTCAGCTTATTATCCTTCCCACTGTCTCTACTGAGGGTTTATTAACACCAGAGGGCTTTCCAAGCTAAAAGGATCATTCTTCATAAAGAAAACGAAATAGCTGCCCTGTGTTTTATGTGGGACAACCTGCTTGTTTTCATGAGTTTCCAATAAAACAAAGACAAAATGTTTAGCTGAGATCGGTGTGTTGCAAAAGCTTAAGACTCCAAGAGTCTGTTATCAGAGGCCACGTTATCATCTCAGGAAAGAGGAATGTTTGTAATTTAAACCCTCACCACTCGAGAAAGAGGGGGAAAGAAGGAATTGAATTTCTCCTTTCCTTTCTTATTCTTTTAATCCCCCACTCCTCCACTTTAAACTATGATAGCAGTAATGTGTCTGGAAGTTTGGCTTCTAATAGCTTCCTGCCACAAACCAATTGACACAAAACAGAATAGCTTGTTGAAGGACAGAATTTTTCCCCCCCCTTCAGGGAGCAATGAATGAACATGCTATTTCCTGACCAGGATATTAAATAGTTTATTTAGAAGAAATGATTTGAAGAGAGCAATTGAAAGACACAAACTGGACTTTTTTGTTGTGGTGGTTTTCTTTTAGTTTAGCACCCGGGTGGTGAGTCAGTCTGTGTGCACCGAATTACTTTAAGTGAACCCCATTAATGATCAGATAGGTGGTTGGCTTGTTTTCAAAAGAAAAAGAAAAAGAAGAAGAAGAAGAAGAAGAAAAACAAAACAAAAAAATCCTTGGCCAATTGTACCTGCCCTGAATCATGACAAGAAGTTGAATGCTAACAGTGCGATGCCAAGATGTGTGTTTGAGGCAGAGAGTTTCGGTTCTGTCAGGATCTGCAACTATTTTTGAACAAAACAAAAAGTGGGGTAGGCGAAAGCAGCCCAACTGGCAGGGGTGATCTCCTTGGCTCCATTAGGGAAGAGAAGCTTCAGGGTGTGACCTATAGCTTCAATTCCACCCATCAGGCTTGACCACAGAGGCCAGCCCTACCCCATGTCTCTTGCCCCCATGTTACATATTTAGTCAGCTCCTTGAAGGTTTTCCTTCTTTGAACCAGAAAACTTGTGAGTGTGAGTGTCTTTCTTGCTACCAAGCGGGCGACGTGTATTCCCGGGAGAACTCCTTCCCGATGCCCTCTCGCTCCTGGTACCTGTGAAATACCTAGTCTATGTGGGCCGGGAGTTCAATTAAAGAAAGGGTCCAAGTTCTCTTCCATGTTGACATCCGGCACCAGCTGATCAGATACTTCCTTAGCACCATAGCCTGAATTCGAGACACTAAAATCTGTAGAAAACCAAGGATGGTCCAGAATTTCCTGGGAGGTCAGCCTCTCGGAGGGCTCCCGCCGTAGAATGCTTCGGATGAAGCACTTGGCCTTGGGTGACAGAGTCTCTGGAATGTTGAACTGGCCACGTCGGATCTTGCTGAAGAGGGAACTGGGCTCAATGTCATGGAAAGGGTACCGCCCTACCAACATGGTATACAGCATCACTCCCAGGCTCCACACGTCGGCTGCTTTGCCCGAGTAGCTGCCACTGGTGTTCAAGATTTCTGGGCTTACGTAAGCTGGGCAGCCATGCTTGTCGGAGAGGGAGTCATCATTTCCCCGCAAAATATAGGCATCTTCCAGGCTTTCCAGCTTGACTCGAGTCCTGAAAGAAAAGGAATGAAACATAAGGTCTTAATCATGCTCTGAAAGATATAATCCCAACATTACAGTTCAGATATTGCAAATTTTCAAAAGAAGCCAACAGAAAGCATTTGAACCATTGAGCTGGTTCAAAATCATGGTGAGCGCACATATGATAGAGTAGAACTGTGCTCCATACATAGGGCTTTTAATGGTTGGGCTTTTTTGAAGTAAGTCACTTGGTCCTTTTTCTAACATGGCTCTGAATAGACTGGAACTACCGACCTTTAGGTTTGCAGTCAAACACATTAACTAGAACATATTTAGACTAGTGGATACAGTACTAGAGGCTAAGTGCTCACATTGGGAAAAGCAAATGAACAGAGACAGTTGCAAACAATCACTAACAATTGGAATGTGGAATGTAAGAAATATGAATTTTTAAAAAAAGGACATGGTTAAAAAAGAAATGCAATGCATTGGTATGAGACATTTTAAATCAAACAATCATTTGATCTTTTATGATGGGAATGAAAATGTGAAGAGGAAATAGGATCAAATTCATAGTCAAAAAGACCATTTCTAAATCCATCCTTAAATACAGTATTGTGAGTGACAGAAAATTATCCATATCCATACAAGGAAAACCTGTTAATGCCACTGCCATTATATGAATAATGAGAGCCAGAAAAGAGGAAATAGAGTATTTCTATTAACTGTTGCAGTCTTAAATCAAATGAACATACAATAAAGACTTATTAATAATAATTAGTGACTGGAACACAAAAGTTGGGAACAAGGAAGAAGCACCAGTAGTCAGAAAATATGGACTTGGTGAGAGGAATGAGACTGAAGACAGAATGATAGAATTTTATACAATCAATTGTTTATTCACTGTAAATACCTTTTCTAAAAAACAGAGACTATACATATGCACCGCACCTGATGGAATAGAGAAGAATCGAACTGACTACATTACATCTGTGGACAGAATCCTTGGAGAAGATCCTTATCGGCTGCGAAACTCCTCCAGGTGCTGTGTAAAATACCATCAACTACTCATGTGCAAGTTCAACTGAAGTTGAAGAACATTAAAACAAATCCTCAAGAACCAAAACATGACCTTGAATCTGCCCCACTAGAACTTAAAAAACAATCTCAAGAATAGGTTTGAGGCCTTGAACACTAATGACCAAAGACCAGATGAGCTGTGGATGATATAAAAAATATCATCCATGAAGAATGCAAAATATCATTAATAAAACAAAGAAAAAGAAAAGACAGAAATGGATGTCAGAAAAGACTCTGAATACTGAGAAGCCAAATCAAAGGAAAGAAAGTGTCAAGGTGGTGAACAGGTTTCAAAGGGCAGCTCGATTAAAAAAAAAAAGTATTATAGTAAAATATGCAAAGAGTTGGAGTTAGAAAATCAAAAAGGATAAACTATTTCTTAAGCTGAAGGAACTGAAGAATTAATTCAAACTTCAAGTTGCAATCATTAAGGATGCTATGGGTAGAATATTGAGTGATCCAGGAACTGAAGCATGAAAAGAAATGGAAGGAGTATACAGAAGCACTATACCAAAAAGAATTGGTTCATACAGAAGAATTTCATCAAACAGTATATGATCAAAAAGCAATGATGATAACAGAGGAAACTCAAGCTGCTCTCAAAGAGCTGGTAAAAAGTCTTGCTGAAGATTATCAACAGAAAACTGCAGAAATAAGAGCTAGGTTTAGAAGAGGCCATAGCACCAGGGATGTCATTGCCAATGTCAGATCTTATGAAATCAGAGTAGCAACGAATGTCTATTTGTGTTTTATTGACTATGCAAAGAGATTTGACTGGATCAAAACAAATGTGGCTAGCACTGAGAAGAAAGGGAATCTCAGAAAACTTGACTGTGTTCATGTGAAATATTTATTATACTCAGACCAAGAAGTAGTCATATAAACAGTAATATAAACAAGGAAACACTCCATGTTTTAAAATTAAGTAAAGAGTACATCAGGGGTATGTCCTTTCTCCATTATCTTTTCAATTTATATGTGGAACAGATCATTCGGGATGCTGGACTTTATAAAGAAGAATGTGGTATCAGGATTGAAAGAAGACTCATCAACAACCTGTGTTACGCAGATGACACAACACTACTTGCCCAAACTGAGGAAGACTTGAAATGTTTGCTGAAGAATGTGAAGGACTGCAGTTTTCAATACAGACTGCAACTCAACATCAAGAAAACAAAGATTCTCACCACTGGCCCAACTGGCAGCATCATGATAGATAGAGAAGACTGAAGTTGTTAACAATTTCATCTTGTTCAGGTCCACAATCAACAAACACTCCTGGCACCAGCAATCTAGAAATCAAAAGACAAGTTGCTTTGGGAAAATCTGCTGTCAGGGATGTCTCCAGAGTGCTAAAAAGCGATGATGTGAGTCTAGGGACTAAGTGTATCTGATCCAAACCATGGTCTTCTTAATTACTTACTATGCATCAGGTAGTTGGACAATGACTAAAGATGGTGGAAGAAGAATCAATGCTTTAGAGTTGTGGTGCTGGGGAAGAATACTGAACATGTCATGAACTGCCAAGAGAACAAATAGGTCTCTCCTGGAAAGGGTGAAACCATCTTGCTCCTTGGAGGCAAGGATTTTGAAACTCTGTCTCAAATACTTTGGATGTTGCCAGGAAGGGTCATTTCCTGGAGGACATCATGCTTGGAAACATAAGAGAAGGACATGAAGGTCAGCACAGGAAAGGAAGACCTTAGAGGCAATGGACTGGCACAATGACTGTGGCAAAGAGGGCAGGTGTGTCAGAGATAGTGCAACTGGCTAAAGATAGGCAGGGTTCAGAACTATTATTCATAGGGCCACTATGAGTCATAGTCTACTTGACGGCACATAAGAACAACAATTCATTCATTCAACCATGTAAACACTGCTTACTGGGCACTGTATATGTTCCCAGGGAGCTCTAGTGACATAGCCCACAGAAATCTGAACTGGTTACACATCGGCCATGCCACCACAAGCACTCCACCAGCCACTCGAGGGAGAAAAGATGGGCAATCTCCTACCAAGCAATAAACAGCTTTGGAAAATCAATGGAAGGTCAGTTATCCGCTGTTTCTGACTCAACAGCAATGAGTGCCAGTTTAGGTTCCAGGTCCCACTGCTGAGAATATCAGAAAGGTCAGTATGACTGACCTATTGTTCGTTCTGTTTGTGTTGTGTTCATTTTTCATTACGCCTACACTGTATTATTCCTTTAGGAAGCAAACAGACCATAAATAGATTTAGAATACTGTCTTAGTGGTGAGGAAATGTGAGATTATGTCATTTTTCTCAAATTCACAAGAGGGATGATGGAGATTTGATCTAACCACCTAGGAAGCCTGTATAACTACTTATGAACATCTGGCTCATTTGAGTTAACACGAATCTACAAAGTCCTTTCATAAAACTTAACTGCTCTCTGGTCTCACAATGTCACTTGTTTAAGACATCTAAGAGTTTATGATCCCATTTTATAGATAATAGTGAAGCTCACAGTTTCAATAACTTGCCTAAAGCTTTTTAGCTGGAATTAGAGAAGAGCTTATCCAGAAACTTTCCTGTTGCTTCGGATAGACCACAGCCAGAGACTGTTAGGAGCCAGGTCCAACTCAAACATCTATCAAGTCCTTTCCTTCTCTCTTCTTTTGTTGCTGTTATTTCCTATCTCATGAACCACACTCTCAAAGCACTCTCTGGGTCTAGATTTTCACATGACACCTACCATCTGATTTAAAAACTATTTGTCAATAAGTCACCTGCAATTCTCAGTGACTTCACACATGTCAAAGCAGAATCATGTTCCACAGGATTGAAATACTGATTCTTCAAAAGTAGATCATCAGGTGTTTGTGGGTAGTTTGGTTTTTGTTGGCTTTGCTTCTTTGGGTTTTTTTCCCCCTGAGGCACATCTGGGTAGACAGGAACCTCCAAGCTTCATGTTAAAAGCTAAACATGTGAATTGTTTACTCACGGGCTCCCTGCTGAACTTGGGTTACTTTCATCCTATCTTCTTGACCTCACCTATGATTCTGATTTCTAACCATGCAAGCATGTGTACAGGTGCGTGTGCAGGTGAACAGCAGAATGAATCTGATACCCTCTTCAAAGTCATCCTGTCCTTAAAGGCTTTCCTCTGCCATTTATTAATCACTGAAGAAGCACTGGTGTCACAAAGGTTATACACAGGACTACTAACAGAAAGGCCCAGCAACTTTGGGGGAGAAAGTCCTGATATTCTGCCATGAAAGAAAACATTATGGGTCATTCTACTTTGTCATGTGGGGGGTCACTAAAATCTACTCAATGGCAACTAAGAACAACTCCTTTGCTAATGGAATTATAGTACACCCCTTTGAATGCTTTTAGCCATGACATTTCTGGTGTTATGGTCACTTCTAAAACTAGCTCGAGCTTCTGGCAGTTCCCTATCTCTGTACTGTATCTAGCCCTTTTTGAATACTCTTCAGCAGCAATTTGTTTGCATGTGATAGTAACGATATTGTTTCAAAGTTTCCACATTCTACTGGATCTCTTTTCATGGGAATAGGAACAAATATGAATCTCTTCCAGTTGGTTGTCCAGGCAGCTGCCCTCCAAATTATCTGGCATAGACTGGTGGGTGCCTCCAGGTCTACATCTGTCATTTCAAACATGCAAATTTGTATCCCATCGTCTTCCTTCCTTACCAGGACTGCTGGAAGTGAATCACCAACAACATAACATATAAGCTGCCACAGTGCTGTAAACTTGCAGAGATTGGCTATCTTCAGTGGGCCTTGATAAAATTGTTGCGTATAGAAGAAATAAATGATCAAGAAATACTTTTAAAGATAACCAACCATTTATAGTTTACCGAATCCAATTTCCTATTGAATGTCTGGATTCAAAGTGACTTCAGAGAGGCTGCACAGTTGTCCTCCAGCCAATCCATGAAACTCCTTGGCTAATCTACCTTCT